GTAAGTGAATATTTGTGATTACATGGCTTATATAGTTTTCAAGTGTTTTCTAGTGTTTTATACATATTATCATTTTTTAAATGCAAGTGTTTTGTGAAAATACTATTATGTTTTGAGTGTTATTTTACCCATGTATTTTTTAAAGTAATTTTGATAAGTGTGCATTACTTGTTATCGAGGTGAGCCGTTCCAAAAGCACCTGTATAATACTAGGCTTCAGTGTGCCCCTACCATTCCGTTTTTTGGTGTAGTGGAAAAGTGATAATTGTGAACTAATACATAACCGTTCTGTTTTCGGGTGTATGGAGAAGTATTAAGTGTTAAGTATGCGCCTATGCATGCATGGCAACAAGAAGATGTGAATAGCCCTCTATAACGATGATGAAATGGAGCTCACTGTACAATGTAGCAAAGTGCATCTATTTTCTAATTCTATGACATGTGGTTCGTTATACATTGTGGCGCACTATACCTGTTGAGTGATCTTATACATGTGAGAGAGTCTGGTATATGTGAGAGAGTAGCGCATTGTACAATGTAGCAATGTGTTTTCTGAATCGTGATTCTGATTTTAGTTTTTAACTTTGCATCTGTTTTTAGTGAAATTGAATATGTTTTCAAGAAAAGTATAGCAGATATATATGTTTTGATGTGTGTGAAAGCTATATATATTATATGTATTAGTTGTGTTGTCATAACATCTGCTTACTGCGATAGTATATCTCATTCCCCCATCATTTTCAGATAAGGAGCATTCTGCTGCAAAATAGTATGTAATACGAAAGAAAAATTGAGAAGTTAGAGATCAAGTTCCTAGTTTGTACTTTTGTTTTGTAAGGAAAAAAAAAATTTATAGTCTCGTATTGTATTGTAGCTGATGTACATTATTCAAGCAATGTACCACTTCTGCATACTCTGTATATAAATAAAAGTTAATATTTGTTATTTAATTAAGTGTAAAATGTAAGTGTGCTCCGAACACGCCCCAAAAGAAGAGGGGGTGGGCCGCGATATGGCATCCATGAGCAAACCAAGATATTTTAGAGGGAGGGAAGTGGCCATAAACCTTAAATGTTAGTTAACCCCAACAGCAGCACCAAAAGAGACCAATTCCAATTTACCTAAACTAATTCAAAGGAGGCTAGAAAAGACTTCAAAACAAGGGAGGATGCATTTAATATTCATTAAGACATCTGTACGAAGCTTGTAAAACAGTAGGGTATCACTGTCCAAAAGTAAGTAAATGATCTCTTTTCTAGAGCCCTTGCTACCAATAAAAAATCCTTTGATGAGCAAAGAAGTATCCTATGAAAAGCCTCTAGGACTAAGATGAAAAGAAAGGAGACAATAGATCCCCTTGCCTGATACTTTAGAGTCAAAGAAGAAAAAAGAACCCCATTTAGAAGAATGGCAAATGAAAGGGTAGCAATACATCTTTCACCTATTCTCGTCAACAAGTATAACAGGGAAGACCAAAAAACATAATTGTAAGTGTTCTCAACATCAAGCTTACGTAAGAAACCTTGTTTCCCAAATCTAATAAACGGAATCCAATCACCTCATTAGCAATGTGAAAGATCTTTTGGATTCATTTTTCATGTTTTACAACAAAAGTTTATAAGAAATCTATTAATTTTGGAGAATATTGATTCTCTCTAAGCAAATCATTTCCATTTCCGCCTACAAGAAGAAGGTCGACAAGGC